TATACAGTGTGATTTTTTAAGTGTGCAACATATGGGGATTTTTTTTAGTAATAGCACAACCCAAATACAAACAAGGCCAAAAGTTGGTGCATGACTGATAATCATATTAGGTGCACTTAGAATGGTTACAAGTCAAATAGCATACAGGGTAGCTCAAACAATATCAAAGCTAGTACTGTGAAGTACCCTTATTTTAGAAAATTCAGCAAAATGTTATAGAGAAAAGTTGTTTGGAATTAAAAGTTATGCCTAAATACCAAAACATAGCCTCCTAAAATTTTTTTTATTTTTTTTCGAAAAAAATCTATAATTTCTATATTTTTTTTATTTTTCATTTCCGCCCTTAATACTTTCAAAAATTAATTAAAATCAAATCAATTTCATATAGCTTTGTTCAAATTCAAGCATATTTGTAAAATTGACTTAGATTTTTAATTTTTTAGGGAATTACAAAATTCATGTTTGTTGCAATGATATTCAACAAAACTTTAAAATGTCGTAATTTTTTTTTTAACAAGTTAAAACATTACTAATGATAATAGCCATATTAAAAAAACTCTCTCCAAAGTGCAGAAGTTTTATTTAATTTAGGTAAATATTAGTAGAATTATGATATTTTTTGAGCCACCCTGTATGCTGTTTGACTTGCAACCATTCTAAGTGCACCTAATATGATTATCAGACATGCACCAACTTTTGGCCTTGTTTGTATTTAGATTGTGCTATTACTAAAAAAAAATCCCATATGTTGCACACTTAAGTAATGACACTGTATATAGATAGGGGTTTCTTATTTCAACCAACACAAAATCACAACAAGACTATGAATAAAGCCCTTAGAGCAGTAAAGGTAAAGGAGTAGTATCATTGAGTTGGAAAATGAAGCCGGTATTTTGGCACCAAAAAAATTGTGGTATAGAAATTGGATAAACCGATAACGCCATCATTTAATAACACGCTGTTAACCTGTTATGCATTAAGCACTAAGAAATAAGAATTAGAAATTAAGAATTAAAGGAGTTGGGTAACACCGACCTAGCTTTTTACATTTTCACAGACAAAAACATCCTTTTTCCATTTTATTCAAACTACACACAGGGTGATTCCGGACAAAGTATCTGGACTACCTTTCGAAACAGTTTATTGGTTTATTTTGAATAATTTCCCAGTGTCAGGGACTGTATTTTGTTGTTAATTGATTATTTTGTTTGATAAATTGGCCAGAGGTCACTGACCTGACCTAATAGTAAACAAAAATCATCATGACAAATAAAAATCCCTTTTATCGTATTCGTACTTTATACTATGCCAGATTAGTTCTTTCTTTGTCTAACTCGTATTTAGACAAGAAAACAAAATTGTGAAAACTTCAATAAGTCTCGTTTTATTTTTCATGTCAAAAGTAGAGCTGTACCAAAGTCGATCCACAAAGCGATTTTGATATTTCTATGCGTCCTTTTTTGTTCGTTGTGTTAAAAAAGAAAAAAAAAAAAGATTCGTTTGGAACATGAAAATTTGGCAAACAGTGATTTTTGATTGGTGCCAAAATATGGCGCAGAATTCAAATAATCGGCTTTTTTTTCTTTGAATTTTTGCCCTCAAGATTAAAAAAAAAAATAACCAACCATACTGTATATAAAATACACTTTCGTTACAGATAAATTATACAGGGTGTCCCAAAAAGATACCGACTAACTTTAAGGGGTAGTAGGGGACATCCAAACAAGCATTTTTGTTTATACAGGGTGTATATTTTAAGTGATACCACTATTGCTATATCCGTAACGGTAAGAGCTACAGGGTCGGTTAAATTAGAAAAAAGTTGCCTTGTTTGATGCCCATTTAAGACTCGTTTACAGTGTTGCCAAATTTCTTTTAGTTTATGAAATACAGGGTGATTTCTAAGAAACGTCCAAACATATTTCATCATTTATTTCGAAAACTATTGATTTTTGAGACACAATTTAAATTCGAAAGTTTTATCATTTTTTTCGCTCTTTCCAAAAATGACATAAAAAATCCAGGTCCGTATTTAAAAAAATGAAGAATGATGATGGTATCTCGATCACGAAACGTCGGATTTAAAATTTGAAGATGCCATGTTGTAGAGCGAAAAAAATTATAAAACTTTCAAATTTGAATTGTGTCCCGAATATCAATAGTTTTCAAAATAATTGATGAAATAATTTTAGGCCTTTTTTATAAATCGCCCTGTATTTCATAAACTAAAAGGACTTTGGCAACACTGAAAACAAGTGTTGAATGAGCATCAAAAAAGGCAACTTTTTTCTAATTTAACCGACCTTATAGCTCTTACCGTTTCGGATATAGCCATAGTGGTATCACTTAAAATATACATCCTGTATAAACCTATGTCCGCAAATGAGCCATTTGGGCTGTAGAGCAAAAAAACTGTTTGGTATCTAGTTTTATTCTTCGCAATAATTAAATCGTTGTTTACTTATTAATTTTGCTTTAATAGCAAATAAATTATGGTTTACAATAATTGTTCAACTCGCGAACTCTTTGGAATATTCTGGGAATAGCTTCTACATGGGTACAACTCGCCAGTATCCTTGCTATGAGAACTTCTTCATTACGAACAGGTGTTTCGTAGACTAAACTTTCTAGTCAATGACCCGACGGTGTAATCTTTGCATTGAAGTAAATGGTCAACATTTTCAACAATTATTGTAAACCATAATTTATTTGATAATAAAGCAAAATTAATAAATAAGCAGTGATTTAATTATTGCGAAGAATAAAAGTATCAACAGTTTTTTTTGCTCTACAGCCCAAATGGCTCATTTGCGGACATATGTTTATATAAACAAAAATGCTTGTTTTGATGTCGCCTACTACCCCTTGTCGGTATCTTTTTGGGACACCCTGTATACCTAATTTCGATTGAGTGCAAGAGGTCCATTGAATTTGGAGGTCCGATCGTTTGGATTGCTCAAAAACTGTCAAAACAGATAGTAACTTCAACATCATCGGCAGAGGCTGAATATCGTGCAGAACTACAAGTAGAATTCAAAAAGTCTATTATGGATTCGTCGAATAATTACAGAACTTGAAATGCAATAGATACTGAGCCAACTGATTTGCTTATTGATAATAAAGCAGCAATGTATATGATGGAAAATGCAGAAGAAGGGAAAGTCACAAAAGGAAAAAAACCCATTGGAGATTCGTCGCAATAGTTCTTAAATCAACATGTTGGAAAGACTGTACGCTTAGTTTGTCTGAATACAAAAGAGCAAGTTTCTGATATATTTACAGAGGCATTTGAACAAGAATGTCTTCGAAAATTTACGTCGCTAACTGTTTAAGGGGAGTGTTGGAGAATTTAGTATTGTCAGTTGAATAATTATCAGTCAGTCAAATTTTCATCATAATCTTTCACCCTATATTCTGTGATTTTTCATTGAAGCAAAGTATTTTCTGAAGTGTTGGCGGTTCCACTATAAAAAAAGCAATAGCTCAGAGCTCTTAGTGCTGCCTGCCTGTCTGAATTAATTTAGATCTTTGCTCTTGGCAGAGGTGTCTTTCGAGACACTTTCTGAAAGTATACCCCTGCTCTAGTCCCTTGCTCTGTTTTCGATCCGTCTGTATCCAAGGCAGATGACCCATTGGGGAATAAGGTACGATATTTTTTCGTTTGCAGCCCTCAATAGTCACTTTATAGGAGTGTTTAAATTCGTACCTCTGTTGCATGTGGTCAACTGGTTTCGTGATCACATTTATGCATTCTTTCATAATGCTCATGTGGCCGACAAAGTCCCCTTCCTTTAGTTTTAGAGACTGTATTATGCTCGAGACTCCCTTGTAGGCGTCTTTCCTCACTCTTATATTTAGTGATGGGAGGCCCAACATGATCTCCATTGCGGCGGTTGGACAGGTGTTAATTGCTCCTGTAATTCCAAGACATGCATACCTTTGTACAGTTTCCAATCGGTTTTACGCTGTGTGTTATGTTTTACTTTTGGCCACCATACTAGCTATTGTAAGTAAGTAACCATGGGTCTTATAACCATTGTAAATGAACCAATACTTTGATCCTTTTTTGGATTTAGACCCCAAGTCTTGCTGAATAATCTCCGCCGACATGTTCAGTACCTATGTGGCTATTGCCCGCTCGGTAACTCTTTTAAGATGTTGGTTCCAAGCTAGTTTATGATCCAAGGTCACTCCCAGATATTTAACCTCACTTGCGAAGTTTGATTTTTATATAATTTTTTGGGTTGACGCTTGAACCCTCCTGTAGCCACCATCTAATAATGACATTTGGGGCATTTTGCATAAGGTCACTAATGATTCTGTCATACTTACCCCTACTGATGACTGTGAGATCGTCAACATATCCTGGGACCATGATCCCTTGGAAACGTTCATCTACTACCAGTAACCACAGCAGTGGGGACAGTATACCCCCTTGGGGCCTTATCCCTTCACTGCTTGAACCAATGCGGAGTCACTTCCAATAGTTGCTTTGATTTTAGTGACAAGACTGTGTTGATTTACCTGGCTGATAGGAAAATTGATTCTTTTGTGCGGGTAGTAATACAGTAATGTTCTTTTTGAAGAGGAAAGCATTAGTGTTCCAAGGGGTGTGGTTTTAGTGGCTAGGGTGTTTTGTAGAAGGCAGATGCGAGTCCCACACAGCGTGCATGAAAATCAATTCCACGTTACTTAACTTAGAGGATTATGTAAATTCTTATTGGTGAATGAAAAACGTTAGAGTCGGCACATCACATATGATGCAAAATCTTCTCTCGATGAAGAAGTGCGTCTGTAGAGAAAATATAATATTGATCTCGGAAGATAGTGCTCCCGCCAGTATCGGAATATGTATTGCTTACGCGTGCAAAACACATCATTTGCTGATGGATTTCACTCACCTCCTTTGTAGTATAAATAACTTGAGTAACGAAAAAAAAAGTTAACTTTCCTAGAAAAGCCGCCCGTGAAAAAGTTACTAACTATACGTTATTTTTCAGTTTGTGTCAACACTTTTGTAAAAGAAAAACTGCTACTAAGCTGGGCACGAAAAAGACTTCCGTCGCACTGGTCAACAAAGTCAAATACCCTCGCAGGTATACTCAGAAACCAACAAATATTCAACATTGTATTATAACAGACAAGTTTTAGATGGTATTTCCGATTTTTGGAAGGATGGTTCACTTCTATGCACTCTAATAAACTCCGCTGTACCAGGAGCATGTCCTAACCCCTATAGACATTGGAGGAAACCCCCAGAGCATGCTCAGGAAGTTGCCTTTAAATATTTAGGGGTGAATCCGGTAAGCTGTTTCAACAATTTTTGAAGTTCTGTTATACGGTATCGGAAGAGAATGAAATTCCAGGCAAAAGCTTTTACCTAATGAAATTGCTTGAAACTTTGTCCTCTCCGCACAATCCAATATTTTTCCAATAGCCAATTTTTCTTCCAGATATTCAATAATTTGGAGCTGACTTCTTCTGTGTCCCTATATATCGATGCAAAATTACTTAAATATCTCAACAATATACGCAAATCCATTTACGATTTGGAGAAAGAAAGATCGGCTTGCAGCTTGATTTCATCAGAATTTTTAGCTCGGGGAATGGGACTTTATACAGCAGAACAATTTAAATCCTCTGAATTTTTCATTTATTCCAGAAATAAACATGGCAATTTTTTGAATATTGAAATATTAATTTTTGGGCCATATTGTAGCTGCATTAAAACGACTGTCTCAGATTATATCGATAAAAAAGTTGACAAGAATAGAAATGTGTCTAAAAATATTAACATAGCAATTGAAATCGAAAAAGACAGACTAAAAATTTGCTATTCATCGAATAATACTGGTATGCACGTGATCATATTGAGTTGTAATCAGGAGAGTATTAGAGGCAGTCCGTTTTATATTAATGTTGAAAAATATGAGAAAAATTTATTTGAAAAAGAAATTTCTCTGGAAAACTTTGAAGCAGAAACTAAAGCAGATGTGAAAGTTCTCCAAAACTACACAGATAACAAAATTACTAAAAATAACGAGATTGATACAGAAAATCAAAAATATATTTCACTAAATCAGAATGCAACTAAAAATAATAAGCAAAACGTGAACATTCGAAACATTTCTCAAAGTTATAAAGAGAATATGTTTAACGAAACCATAAAAGTAAATAAAATAAGTAACAAAATTAGTGACAATAACGTTGTAACAAAAATTAACAATCAAACTAAAAGTGAAGTATTGGGAATCAGCAAGTATTTGAAAAACTTAAGCAACAGGCATGAAAAAGAGGTGAATATCAATAGAAATATAGCTACAAACATAGCGAAAGAAAATTATTCAGATTTTCAGAAGCTTGTAGATAGCTCGTATAGAAAAAACTGTAGAATTACTAGGTCTCATCCTAGATTAGGCCAGATAAAATTCGCTCAATTTTCTTATGCTTCTCCAGTATGTAGTGAGCATATTGCCCCAGAAGATATTAGAAAATTATCTGTAGATTCTAAGAGAAAGGTAACACTTAAGTATAATATACCAAACAACTTAATAAATTATTTGGGTTTTTAGATGTTTTCTCAGAAAAAGTCAGAAGCGATAGATTCCGGTGATACGCCCATAAACTCTCAATTTTCTATAGACGAAAATAAAACGGAAGAGTTAAATAGAGAATCTCCAAAACTTGAACATAATGAAAAACCTATAAAAAATGATGAGGTTTTAAGTAATTTAAATGAGTTTAAAAAACAAAGAAAAAGCTTACAAAAAATCGTCAATGAAAAAAGACTATTTTGGGAATCAGCTTTTAATGAAAGTAACAATAAAATACAACCTAATTTAACAGGGGATGTAGAATCTCTCAAAACATTTGACAAAACCTTGAGTAGAGACCTAAAAAGAAACAATAATAAATACGTAAAATCCTTAGATAAGCTAAGAAAGCGAGTAGTTTCTCAGTCTCTCCACGATTTACGTACTAGCGAGCAAATAAGAGTTTTGCGACCCTTCAGATCATTGGATAATAGTTTGGATATATGTTGCGAAATAAGTCTAGGAGACAGAACAAAATCGTATTTCGAAAATGTCAAATTTGCAACAGGCACAAGTGCAAATAAGATGATTCTTTCAAGAAAATATGGTAAGGAAATTTCACACACTAAGTTTAGATTTCATTTTACTGTAGTATTTTTGATGATTTTGGTATATTTTACAGCAAGGGCCATTTTCAGGGAAGAAAGAAAAATTATTAGATGACTTGCCCACTACATCAAGCTGTGAAGCCTTACTTTATAAAAAACCTAGGTCTGATCTTACACCAAAAATATCATTTAGGAAAGCAGTTGAGTATTTTAGAAACTTAGAAGTAGGAAAAATAAAACCAACTTTACCAAATAAACCTAATAATATAAATAGAATTAGAAATTTAGTTTTAAATAGGTCTGATAGATCTTTTATGCAATGTAACGGAGAAATGGAATCTAGAAACTTGCAAATGGAGAAAGGCGAAAAGAAACGGAAGCCAATAATGGAAGGCTTTGATGTTTTGTATTAAAGGACTTGTTGTTTTGTCATTATTTCTTACACGTATTTGTTATTTGCCTAAAATCTCTTTCAAAAATTATACTTCACCTATAGGTATAATAAACTTATACAATTATCCTCAGATGTATATGAAGTAGGTAATTATTCAGTATTTGTTTACTAATATTTAGAGGAAATAAAATATTGTTGAAAATAAAATAAATTTGTTAAAAATAGAATCACATCATGCCAAGCTCATAATATTATTGCTGTTCCTATCCGAAATTAACCTTCAGGGTAAATCTAAGACAATTCTTTATTGACCGTACAATTATATTTTCGATTCAGAAACTTGTATTTTTAAAAAACATTTATTTTATTAATTAAAATACAATAGTGACAATCGGAAAATATATGGATCAAATTGCTACAGGGAGTGCCTGAAAACAAATGAACGCTCCTTACTGGAAAGCTCTGGTAGTCCAGGAGGTGGCGCCAAAAACATGCAAGAGTTTTCGCAAGGCGGATATTTTCAAAATAGGTCGTACTTTAGCGCTAGAATGCTAGTGTACAGTCAGCACTCACAGTTCCGGGACAGCTGGCTCTGGGACGCGGGCAAAGTTGTAATTTTAAGAAGCATCTAAACTGTTTTCTCAAAGCTCAAAATTTATAGAAATTTTGCACATTATCCGTTTGAAGGTCACACATAACGTATGTAAATCGTCAGACGTCTAGTTCGTTGCAAAAAGGGGGTCAGACGTCCTCAAAGTTTTTATTTTATGGCATTTTCTTCAAATATATTTGTCAAATACCTGCAAAAATATATTTTGACAGGACACCGAAGAAAATGCCATAAAATAAAAACTTTGAGGACGTCTGACCCCCTTTTTGCAACGAACTAGACGTCTGACGATTTACATACGTTATCTGTGACCTTCAAACAGATAATGTGAAAAATTTCTATAAATTTTGAGCTTTGAGAAAACAGTTTATATGCTTCTTAAAATTACAACTTTGCCCGCGTCCCAGAGCCTGCTGTCCCGGAACTGTGAGTGCTGACTGTACACTAGCATTCTAACACTAAAGTACGACCTATTTTGAAAATATCCGCCTTGCGAAAACTCTTGCATGTTTTTGACGCCAGCTCCCCAACTATGGCTTAAATAATAAATATTTGCTGATCCAAGCATTTTCCTATGCAGGTGGTGGTACTACCAGTGCAGTACCGCTGATTAAGCAGTTTTATATATTTATTAGTATTGACATAGGCGTACGCTAATAATTAACATAGGAAAGGAGAATTATTAGTATAAGGATAACATAGGGTCTTACAATATAACTCCTCCCTCCTTAAGTGGTTGCAAATTGGGATTGACTAACAATGTTGGGCAATTCAATCTGCACCTCAGTTTGGGTTTTATTAAGTTTTCCTCTAAAATATAGAATAAGAATAATGGTTATGCAAATAGAACTTAATACTATGATTATAATATAGGTTGACACATTATTGGTTATAAAATCTAACACTTTTAATGGGTCAGTTTTTAAATTGTTTGCTTCTTCAATCGCTGATTGAAGAGCTTCGTGGTCGACTGTTTTTAGTCTTACAGTTGTGGTATTCTCTAGAAGTTCAGGAATCTCGATGATGGGTAGTTCTAGTTCTAGGTTGAAGTTCTCATGCGTGTCTTCCAAAAATGTTCGATTATTAATTGTTATTGAACATTTACCTTTGGAAATTACGATTGGACTGGAAATGATTTCCATGTACTTCTTCTGGTCACATTGCAGCATTGCTGTCATATGTCGTTTTGGAATAACCAATATTTGATTATTGGGTATTTCTTCAATTATTGTCGATTCTTCATATTGAATTTTCGTGAATGGGCATAATTGTTGTTCACTAGATACAATGTCGTGAACACAGGGCTCATCTTGTTTCAATAGTTCCATTTTGCACAAATAAATGTCTTCAACATTTGGACATTTTTGTAAAGCGTTGTAATACGTGTCTGTGGTAAGTAAAAGGTAAGGATACTTAACACTAATTGTATAATTTTGGATGGGTATAGGATATAATTTATACAATATAAAAGGTTTAGAATTAATTATTGGTGTGAATATAGTAAAAATAATTAATTCCTTTTGAATAATTACATGAGAGGACATTGTCTCATAGTATTTAATTACGTTATCAAAGGGTATTTGTTCTCTCTCGGGTATATTTTTCAAGATCAAATTTAACTCATGATGCTGCAAAATTGTATAGTGCATTATGCCTACGCGTGCAAAGCTTATGGCGTTTTGTATGTGGCTAATAATTTCTCGCAGCTTACTACTGTGCATATTAATATTTTCTAAAATTAGATTCATCATTAAGATAGCTTGAATATTTTGATTATCCGGCGAAATATTTTTTATTTTGTCTGAGATAATTATCTGATTATTTTCGATAGTAGAAAATTGATCATGAAATGTTTTCGTAACTTGTTTAAGTACGTTTGCTTGATCTTTTAGATTTTTATCGATAGTTTGCTGATTCTCGTTTAATGTTTGAATGTAAGAATCATATCTATCGCCGTCATTTGCGTCTAATGTACCATACAACCATTTTTGTGCGGTACCAATAAAATTGAATACTCCACGTTTAATTCGATCGTGTGAAAATTGATTTATAAATTTCTTTAATGTATTGATACGTGATTGACTAGTTTCAATATTTACTTGTAATAAAGTAACAATTTCGTCTTTATTAGACCATTTGGTTAAATTTAAAGTATAGTTTAAATTCTTTAAAGTTATTTCGAGAGTTTTAATACTGTTTCCAATAAGGCTAGTATTAATGTGATAACATGCAGTGTTGTGTCGGTAAAATAGGATTTCTTAATGGAGTTAATGTGTAGGCGTTACTGAAAATTCCTATGAGGAGGATGATGGAAGCTGCCAGGAACATTTTGGTTTTTCTGAAACAAAATGTTGTCGCTTTACCATTGGTTTACTAAATCTGACTTGTGTTTTAGCACCATAACGAGGACTAATTTTATTTCTGTCAAATTGCTTAATAAAAATAGGATCTTTTAATTCAGGTTCCTTTTCACGTTGCTTATTGATTTTCTCTAAATTTTGTGTTTGCTTTGATATTAATTTGTCATGAATTACATAATTTAGAGTTTCTAATGATTCGGCAAGATTATTAATATAATCTGTGGTTATCTTATTTTGGGAATTTTCAATAGGTATTGAATAATTTAAATCGCCTTTTATTATTTGGAAAGGTGTATAACCTGTAACACTATGTATGCTGTTATTATAATTCAAGATTGCAATTACCATTAAATCATTAATGTTTTTATTAGGGCTTTGTAATTTCAAGCTTGTTAGACTTTCTCTCAGGGTAGAATGTAGCCTTTCTATTTGACTATTAGAATTAGGGTTTCGAGGTGTCGTATAATGGAATTCGATTTTATGTAAAGTACACAAATCTGTTACAATTGCGTTTTTAAATTCAGTTCCGTTATCGGAAGTAATTCTTTGCGGAATTCCATGGTCACTGAAATATCTTATTAATTGTGATGCAATCTCAACTGAAGTTTTGCTAATAATTGAGATAGCTTGTGCAAACTTCGAAAAGCTGTCAATAATTGTTAGGAATTTTTGATTCGAAACTACGTATGTATCAATATAAAGGTGTTCAAAGGGTTTTGAACCGATTGGAGTTGGTTTGAATATTATTTTATAGGGTTGCCTTTCATATTTTGTCTTATTACAAATTTCGCATCTTGTGACATATGCTTGAACGTCTTTTTCTAGATTAGGCCAATAATATCGTTTCTTTAAAGATGAAACATTTTCTGTAACTCCGCGATGGGATGTTTTAGTCTCATGGTATAGTTTAATTTTCTCTTGCTGTTCGTCAGTTTCAGTAATGTCTTCGACAAAGGAATTGGAAATACATAACTTGAACGAATTCGAATTGAATGATGTACTTAGAACTCTAAGTATAATAGGTTCTAACGTTTTGTTGTGGAAATACATACAATACAATACAATATCTTCCACCAAATATGGTGGAAGATATTCCTTTATTAATTTAATAATTTGTTCCTCTAATGCGTCATTAGGTAAAAAGAATGATATTCCTGTCTTGTTTGGAAATGGAATAATACTTTCTTCGCGAATAGCATTATTATTAGAGTATCTAAAAATGATTTGGTTAGCAAAAAGATTTACATGTTTCTTCGTATAAGGGGCTCCTAGAATAAGGTTTTCAAGAGAAGTGTGAATAGTTTGATCGTCTTCGATTACTTCATTCTCAATTGTATCTTCTTGAATTAAATCTTTTTCAATTATATCTGTTTCAATTGGATTTTTCTTTAATCTTTTTAGAGGTATTATTACGTGAGATAAAATTTTAATCTTAGGTTTTTCTTTTTCTCTTTGTGGTGAATCTGCTGAACGAGTAGATTCGGACAATGGAATATCTTTATGTTCGTCATTTATTTTAATTTCTTTGCCTTTATTAATAGGTTTCTTTACTTGTATATGAGGTTTAAAAATTTCAGTATCTTTGAAATGTTTTTCAATAATCTCGTCATTATTTAGTGGTGTGTCTTTTAACATTGCTCCTAAAGTTTTATGAAACTTTTCATCGGAATCTGATTCTGTACTTGAATCTGATCTGGAAATAGCATTTAGTTGTAAAGGAGGTCTTGATAATGCATCTGCATTCATATTGAGTGTTCCTTTCTTGTATTTGATTTCGTAATCATATTCTGCTAATTTTAATCTCCATCGGACTAATTTGGATCCGGGTTCTTTAACAGAGAATAACCATTGAAGTGGTTTATGGTCAGATAAAATTGTAAATTTCTGTCCAAATAAGTATGGTCTAAAGTATTTAGTTGCCCATACTATGGCTAGTAATTCTTTCTCAATTGTGGAATAATTACATTCCGCAGGGTTTAATGTACGACTTGCGTAAGCAATTGGTAAATCTGAACCTACTGGTCCTTGTGACAATACAGCGCCAATAGCATAATTTGATGCGTCTGTAGTTAATAAAAATGGTTTATTGAAATCAGGGTGTTGTAAAATAGGATCATTGATTAATAAGTTTTTACAAATTTCAAAACTTTTTAGAAATTCAGAATCGTGAATTACTTTTTTATCCTTTTTTAAACAAATTGTCATTGGTTTTGTGATTTTAGCGAAGTTTTTGATAAACTTTCGATAATATCCTATCAATCCTAGAAATGATTTAATTTCTTTGACGGTTTTTGGGATTGGAAATTTCTTTATTGCTTCGATTTTCTTTGGGTTTGGTTTAATACCATTTGGGGTTATGACATGTCCCAAGAATTCTACTGATTTCTTTAAAAATTCGGATTTGTCTAATTGAATTTTTAGATTGAATTGTTTTAATCTTTCAAATATCTTTTCAAGATTTGCAATA